GAAATTATTAAAAAAGTATTAAAAGGAATTAGATCTTATAAAATATGAATATAACAAAATGATACGTAAATCGAAAAGCGCTTTGAGATATTTGGGTTAGACGTCAATTGATGCAACATACTCATCAAAGAGGGTTTCACGGAGTCTCTTTTTAAATAAGGAAAGTGAAAAGATTCGTTTAAGATCATTAGGAAGTTCATTGAATTTAATGAGACCTCTCCTGTAGAAGTCCGCTTGACCGTATTTAGTTTCTGGTGCTATTACATAAAAATTGCCTCCCAGTCCGAAACGAGTTCCATATTTATGGACTTCATTGACATAATTTAACACAATATTATTTTTCACTAAACCGTGTTTGATTTTAAAAGCTAAAAGAAGCAAAAGATAATCAGTGATCACCGGTAGAGGAAGTATATTGTAGGAAAAAAGTTTAATCGAAGGAGATAACCGATGTTTTTTTTGTATGATTCTAAGACATTTCTTTTGTAGACAGAAAAGTCTATTCATATTAAAAGTAGAAGTAACACTCCATAATGGATTTAAAAATATTAGGTGAGAATAGATATGCGCGAAGTAGAGCTGGTATGCAAGTTGGATATTCATCGAATGAATTGTTCTTTTTATAGCAAAAGTCATAGAAAGACATTTGTTGTAGATACCCTGGACGTGATCATCAAAATTGAGTTTGTCATCAAGCACAAGACCAAGAGTCTTGTACTTACTTACTCTTTCAATTTTGTGATTTCTACAATAAATGTTAAGATTGAAGGTATCAAAACATGGTATCGATTTTCTCCCTTTGAAAATCATATATTTGGTTTTCGTGAGATTTACATCAAGGAACAAAGCATTCAGAAATGTTGTTATTTTAATCAAATCCTCTTCTATTAGTGCTGATAATTCAGCCAAAGAGTCAGCACTGTAAACAATCGAAGAGTCATCTGCATACAGTAATACTTGGCCATTAAGTGCTAGATGAAAGATATCATTTATATAGAAAGTGAAAGCACTTGGTCCCAAGACTGAACCTTGAAAAACTCCATTGAGTATATTTAATTCCGGACTAATGAAACCATTCAAATGTGTAACTTGCTTTCTATCAGAAAAATACGATTGAAAGAGTTTAACATAATTGCGAGGGAGGTGTAATTTTTCTATTTTCTTTAATAATAATTCATGATTTACACAATCAAAAGCCTTCGAAATGTCCAGAAATAGAGCAGCAGTGAATTTATTACTTTCGATTCTATTGTAAACAGAACTAAGAAAATGTACTAACGCAGTTTCTGTATTAGAGTTACTAACAAAACCAAATTGTGACTCGTTAATTATTTTATTCAGTGTGAGATGATTCTGCCAACGACTCAAGATAGTTGATTCAAATACTTTGGAGAAAATAGGAAGGATGGCTATGGGTCGATAATTTTTCAAGTCCGACTTATCACCACTTTTGTAAAGGGGTTTAACTTTAGCAAGTTTAAGCGATGTAGGAAATTCTCCTCTTCTCATGCAAACATTGATAAGTGAGGAGATTGGGAGCGCAAGTGAAGCTTTATGAGTTTTTAAAATTTTATTAGAAATGCCATAAATATCTTTCGCATCAGAATTACTCATATTATCAATTATGGTAAGAATCTCATCTTCAGAGGTGGCTGTGTCGATAAACGCATCAGAAATATCAAAATCATGAAACATAGGATCGAAATTAGTAGTGGGAAGCGAAGCTTTGATATTGCTTGCTACTGTAACAAAATGCCGATTGAATGCTTCAGTTATAGAGTGTTTATTCGTAAGATTTTTTCCATTAAGAGTTATTAAAGAAACGTCATCTGAATCATTAGATAGAGTATCACGATTATATATAATGTTATTTAAATACTTCCATGTTTTTCTTAGATCGGTTATATTTTCACTGATTTTTTCCGTGAAAAAAGATTTTTTCGCCTCTCTGAGTTGCGTTGTAACAGCTCTTTTGTAATAATGATATCTAATTCTCATTTCTTCTGTGTTATATTTTTTAAATAGTTTACGATAATTATCTCGAATTTTCATTAGATTTAATAAATCAATGCTCATAAAAGGCTTGCGAAACTTCTCTCTAACGTTGGTTACATCAGTATTTGATTTAAGTACGCAAACAAAATCATCTATCAACGCATCAAAGGAACTATCATCGACTTCACTCAAAGCTTGTGTAGAAATTATGCGTTCGTGATTTATGTTGTGAAATGTCAACAGTTTATTCATGCGTTTGTGTGAGACCTGAGTCTGATTAAACACCCTAAGAATAATAGCTTTGTGATCGACATTAAGAATAGAGTCTGTAAGAAAATGAAAGTTATGCGAAGGAAAATCATCCGTAATCACATGATCAATGGCAGAATATGAATTATGCACTCTATCTTGACGTGTAAACATTTTATGTTGATTTGAGTTTAACAAAAGAAAACCATTAGATTCAACTGTTGCAATATATTGTTTAACTGAATTGTTTTGAGAATCAAAAATGTTGACATTAAAATCTCCGAAAAGAAATGTGTTACTCATATTGGACAGAAAATAATCAAATTTTGGAAGAAAATTTGTTAGAGGAGTATCTGGAGGCTTATAGATTGTTGCAATTGTTTTATTATGCTTTTCTAATTTAACTGATAAAAAATTGCAGTTATTATGTTCAAACTCATCAACAAACTCATCAACAATTTTAGTGGCGCAGCAGAATTTTTTTATTTGGTGAATATCTTACTTTAACCATTGTCGTACGTTCACCCTTCGCATCTAATAAAAACGTTTTCAAGCGTGTGACAAAGGACATTTGCGGAGCTGTCGATTTGTTTTTTAACACATCAAC